AGTTTATCTTGATTATGGGAATGATATAGTTCCAACTTCTTGTGCTAGTGCATTTTGTATGTATTGAACGAGACCGAGTAGAGATAGTTGCTTTAGACTGATTGACAAAAGCATATTCTCTAAACTATTAAATGTACTTATATTCTTAATCATGATATAACTATATATTATGATCTGTATATGTTAATCATCGTTTTGATTTATTAAATGGTGAGATTCTAAGATGGGTCAATATTCCTAGTAGATTGGATGATGATAATATATATTGGTGAAATAATAAGTTAGTTGATGGAATCCATGTCTCGGTATAGAGATTGATGATATGCCTTTTTGAGAAGCTTAAAAGTTTTCATCGTGTCAAACCTTGCAAGTGGATTTAAGAATCCGACACATGAAATAAGTTAAGCAATGCTCTAAAGGAAATTAATCATTGAATTAAGTTCGTCAGTAATTTAATTTATTGATTAGTATCTGTAATCTTAATATGGGGAATTTCAAAATATAAATAGAGGAGTGCAATTATGAATTTCTAGTGGAATGATTTGTAATTTATTATGGTAAGAATAATTGAAATTAATTATTTGAAATTATTTTCATAATAGGAAGCCTCAGTAATTAATTTTGTGGTCCCTACCGTGCCCATATTTATCTAGAACTCAGAATTTATTGTAAAGGGAAAAAGGAGAAGTATGTGTCTTTCTCTATTCTAAGGAAAGGGAGAAGTATGTATCTTTCTATGTTCTAAGGCAAGGGAGAAGTATATCACTTTTTCTATTCTAAGGAAAGGAAGAAGGACATGACTTTTTATTTTCTAAGGAAAGGGAGATGTACATGTCTTTCTATTCTAAGGAAAGACATGGTATTCCTTTTACTTGGACTAAGAAGAAATCTCTATAAATAGAGATTCTTGTAACCCTTGAAAAATAATTTTTTCCATAAAATACTTGTCCACCCAAGTATTGAGAGGGTTTGGAAGTGAACTTGGGATTACTGTAGAAGACCGTAGAACTGTGGTCTAGTTTGTGGACTAGCTTATGAATTTGCTTGAAGTTTCTAGATTGTCGACTAGCTTGTGGATTCACTTGAAGGTATTGGCTCACGCTTCAAGAGGTAATTCTGAAGTTAAATTCAGAAAGTTTATATGCCCTAACATGATTGTACTTGTTTTAGTATAAACAATGTGTTGTCTATTATTCATGTAAGTTGTATGATTATGGTCTGTTTCCGTTGTGCATATAGTTTTCCAACACTATACATAACATTTAGGCAATAAATTTGAACTAAATTCAAATCTTTATATTAGTAAATAAGTTTTTTTACAACAACGTTCAAGCTATTGTAAATACGAGAAGCAAGAGGAGCAATAATGTCTATAATTTTTTTTTTACTTTTAAAAGGCTTTATATTATAGTGGATTCTTATTTGTGATTGCAAGCGGGTTCCTACAGTAGACTGTGAGTTGTTAGTCCTTGGAACATAATGAGATGAGTACTCACATTTATATGTTTATTACTAATTTTCGGGTGCGCGCTTTGCGTGTGTAACCCATACTTATGATTATATTATTTGTTAAAAAATTCAATATTATTAAATAATGTGATTTGATTTTTTAAAAGAAAAATTGTGTGTAATTGAGGTTTATACTATCTCACTATTACTATTACTATTACACCAATTTCATTACCTCCAAATAAATGCATCGGAATAATGATATGAGAAGTAGGAAGTTGAGCAGTTCTTGTCTTGTGATAAATATAAGATAAAGATCACTTATGGAATACCAGTTTATGGCAACAAATAGGTTTAGCTGAGACAAGCAGAATAAAACTTAATTAGGACAAAGACAAGACAAGTTGTAAAGCATTCTTGCATAGAATCTCCTTTCGGTATCGTCTATTTGTCATTTCTAAATGAATCAATCCCTTACTCTATTCAATCTTTCAAGAATAGGGCAAATAGATCTGACCCATAACCTCTCTTTCAAGCAATTCATAGACATCAAACCTAAATTGCTAGCATTGAACTAATTAATCACTCTAATTAATCTCTTTCGAGCATCAACTGATCGGAGCTAGAATTAATTTGGCCACCTCAATTCATGAATTAATCACCCAACAATCAGTCAAATTTGTAATTAACAGTCACAAACAGAGCAATTCAACAAACCCACTAAATTAAATCAACCCCAACCCCATAATCACACCCCAAGAGTTTGGAATTTTAGCCAGACATTACAAAGTGTTAATAAATTATATCTTGCATGAAAGTAACCATGGGTAGCATGAAATTGAGTGTTTAATAGTAGATCCAGTTCAAATCCCACTTCAATTTCCCAAATTTAAGTTTATAATTCAAAGATTCAATAATTAAAATTATTTTTTTGCTCAATGAAAAATATTTCTCTCTCTTGAAAAGTCAGAGTGTTTCTCTCAATTTTTTCACCCCTCTTTCTCTCTCATTTGGACTATTTATAGTTTTCCAAAATTTTCCCCAAAAAGTAGTTCTGTGTCATTTTCGGTGACATACTCAATTCGCCCACTGCATTCGGCGAATCATGTTTCTTATTTTGGTTTGTCCTTTTCATCCTGCAAGCTTCATGTGTTTGAGTTTCACTAAGCGATCCCTTTAGATTTCGCTTTTCCGAATTTGGCGAATTGTCGAACTTCCTACCATCTTCTCTACCAACACTGTCAGTTTCATCGATATCTACTCACTTTGCCTTGTGTCTTTGGGTGAATCAACCTTCTCGTATCCCATCGCTGACTCACCTTGAGGGATGACTTGATACACTGTCAACTTAGGCGATGTCATGCTCATTTGGCGATGCGCCCTTCATGTTAGGCGATCAACAGTGTTCATTTTGCACTTCTTTTTGTATTTTTATCCATTTTTTCACACATCAATCCTTGCCTTGTCCAAGTTCCATCATAGCTGCAAATCATCAACATTTGATTAGAAAAGGACAAAGTTAGGCATTGAGGATACTAATTATTGAGCTAGATGGACCTTAAATGAGTGCAAATCTACCACTCATCATCAATGCATCTTAAAATCATAAGGAAAAACTTTCATAAATCTTCAAGACAACTTAGTTAATTTATGGATATTAGCTTTAACCGACAATAAACCATGAGAGCCATAACATGAAATCTGATGTAACTCCCCCACATCGAGAAGAGAGAGTCTACTTGTCAAGGTAGAACTCTGTATCATATCATATGTTGTATGTGGATCCACTAGCTAGGCCATTTTAAGGAAAACCTACGGGGGCACATACTTTGGAACTAGAGGTTCCTACTAGAGACTACTCTATTTGAGCCTCTAACTCAAAGTTCTCTCGGTGCTAAGTTAAATCCCAATGGAATAGTCATTTTTATGAACATATCATCATACATGGAAAATCACAATTCAAATACTAATTCAAGATTAAAACATCATAAAGTAGCTCATTAAATCTTAAATCAAGCATATGTGAGAAAACATTTCAGCAAACCATGATTCCTTAGTATGTGAGAAAATCCTTTTATATTTTCATTGATGCTCATCTTAAAGCAACCTAATTCATAAAACATTCTTTTTTATAATTCATGCATAACTTCATGAAAATATCAATCATAGATTCATAGTTTCTACATAAATTCATGTCTTTTAGGGTTCATAGTCAAAATCATGATCAGTGCATGAGTTTATGTGAAAACAATTGGAAAGCATGTAATTGACTCAAAACAATCCTAATAAGATCAAAATTGAACAACTGAATCAACATAATTTGAACGCATGAAGAATTGAATGAAAACCTAATCAATTGGATTGAAACTAGACTTGGACAATTAAGAAACCTTAGGACTCAATGGGTGAATGAAACCCATTGATGAAGCCCTAAAAACCTTTCTATTTAATGCCCAATGGTGAAAAGGAAACATGATTTGGAACCCTAGCTTCTTTTTCTGGACCTTGGGAGAGAATTGGAGAAGGATAATTGTGGATGAGATTTGGGGGTTTGAGTGAATGAGAGAATTGCGGAAGCTTTGGGGGTATAAGGGTAGCTATAGGTCTTGATATAAGGGTCAAAACGACATAGTATAGGTACTAGATGCATATAAAAAGACTCAAATATCCTTAAGAAATAAATGTCGGACAACCCTACGGTTGTGACCTACGGCTCGTAGGAATTCCTACGGTCCATCTTGGTCAACCGTAGAACCACCTTCAGAAACTAAAAAATTCAATTACTTCCCACGAGATCATTCTACCGCCAGTCAAATTTTCTATGGTCCGTAGTCCTCATCCTTAGGACACAAGTTCAGCTCCAAAATTTAACAAAGTTAAGATCAGTTCTACGAGAAAATCTTACGACCTGTAGAATAACTTACGACCCTCCAAACCCTTACGTAGGGCTGAGGTCTTAGATCAAATCTTTGAATCCATCCTACGAGTGTCATCAATGACTTGTCAAAAATCCTACGATTCGTCATGTTCATTCGTGGCTCAAACATCATAAAACTTGAAATTCCAAAACTCAGTTCACTTCCTATGGCTAGTAGGACTTCCTACGATCCGTAGGTCCGTCTCGTAGAACTCTACTTCAGAGAATTTTCTACACTTTTCTTTCCTTTCCCAACTTTTCAACTTCGGAGGTGTTACATCAGGTACACTTGATGAATAATTCAATCAAAGAACTATTAATTTACTTACCAGAGGAGGAGGAGGAGTTTTTCTTTTTTCCATTTTGGGTTCCCTCATTTTTTAGTTTATTGTGGTTTTTGTTTTCAATTTAAAAACCTGAGGCCACCTCCCACACATCCCTCAAAATCCCTTAATCCTTAATTAAATAACTGTCACTTATACTCAATTAAAATAACTCGAGTCACTACAATTTAATTCTCAAACTTTTTCTTTTAATTCAAAATCCCGACTTACTCCCACATCGCTAAGTGAAGAAGACACAAGAGTAATGAGGAGATACTAAAATAAGACCAAGAGCAATAGAGAAACTACCTTCACCAATGGACAGGGTCAATGGGTGATCAAGAAGACTCATAGCCTAGGGTGGTGACCTCCATTGCACTTCGGAAGATTGCCTTCCTAAGGACGATCCGAGTGGTCGATCCTATGTCCTAATTTTTTACAGCGGGGCTTGCATTTGCATGGCCCCTACCCTATTCAAAGTACAACTTTTTTCTAGTATCTCATTTATAGGTTTGTGATTAATTGAGCACCACATTCTCAATAATTTATATCTTTTCCTATTGTAAGTCACCTCGTTCTTCTAAGTGAAACTTTAAAATACAAATGCTTTGATCTTTATATTAAAATTTACAATTGTATTAATGATTACTATAAGTTGCAAAACATCTATATCAACCAACATGAAAAAATTGAAACGAAAAGAAACATAAACAAATAGGTTGATAGAATTGAATACTTCACTCTCTTTTTTCCTTGCGTCTAGTCTCCCACATCGATAAGTTGGATTTAGCGATATGTACATATAGTACTAAAATGTAATTGTCACTAGTAATTGCCTCTTAAAAATATATTTTGTGTCAATTAAGCTATTATCGTTTATTAATTGTCACTAAAATTCATTTTTGGTGTAGTTTTATTACTTGAACAAGAATTGTTCTATAGGCTCGAACCACCTTATCCTTGAGTTCTAAGGAGACATAAAATCTAGTTGAACCATGGTAGGCATATGAGACTAGATCGTGATTAATAATCACCATTGCCCACCAGATGATGGAGTCGTAGAGAATCGTTCAGAGCTTGGTCCATCGGGTTGTGATGGTCTTATGGTTGTCTGATAGACTTCTTAATTCTTCTTTTTGTTAGTACAATGTATTATACATTTTTCCATGTATAAATAATATATTCAGAATCCTTAAACTTAAAAATTTAGAATCCACCTCTTCTTAGAATCAATATTGGTAAACGATCTTCTTCGAATAAAAATAAGCTCTTGGTACATTTGTTATTCACAAACTGATTTATGACAAATTATAAAAGACTATGAAAATCATTCAACATCCTGGAAGTTGTACCTTATGTATTCCTTAAAGGATGTTCATATAAAAGTTGTACTATTTCTTTATGACTATCGTTTATATTATGGTCAAAATAATATAAGAGATGGATTATGAAAGAAAAAACATATTCTCATTTGTTTCTTTTGAGTAGCTGTGTGATAGATTTCCTTAACTATTTTGCTGATTTCACTCACATTGAATCTTCAAAACAAGTTAAACTCTATGAACTCTTTATATGTTGTTGTTTTAATTAATCACATGCTGATGTAGAAGATTTGTTAGGGGTTCAACTGAATTCAACATTTTTGACACAATTAGGTGTACAATTATCTAAAAGTTTCTAAAATTGTGGCAAATTCTAAACTTTGAATCCGTAATTCCAAAAGTGTAATAGATTCAATGATCGAATTTTAAAAAGTTGAACCTGTCAAATTTGAATTCTAAATCTGTCTTTGAACACTATATGAATTTACTACTATTATTTAATGATGTGATCTAGCGTTTTTTATTCTTCAAGAGTAATTAATAGTATAAATTAGGCACGTATTACTTCTTTCGTACATTGAGGATGTTAATTGCTCTTTTTTATAGACATACAATACCGTGTTCTTGGCAAATAATATTATAATCCCACATCGTCAAGTGAATAAGACAGAAGAGTAGCAAGGAGACACTATAAAAAAGGGTCAAGATCAATTACAAAGAAACATACTTATCTGAACAGGGTTAATGGACGATCAACAAGGTCCATGGCCTAGGTTGGTAACCTCCATCGCACTTTGGAGAGGTGCTCACCTAGTTTCTTTTCTTTTGTTGTAGAAGAAATGAAGAAGAAAATGGTTTGCTTTTCTAAATTTCTTCATAGGTACAAACCATTTTTTTCTCTTCATTTCTTTTAAACAAAAAAAAATATACAAAAAAAAATTAGATATTTTTTTTCATCATGTCACGACCCAAAGTATACCTTAGATGTGACATGGCATATAGAACCCCAGAGGCCCTACACACAGTGGTGGAGCTAGAAATTTTATTAAGGGTATCCAAGTATTACATAATTTTTTTTTAATGAATGGATGCACTGGAAAATTTAAAATTGAACTACATAATATTAATAGTACTTTTTTTTAGGAATAAATATTCCAAAATTTTAAAAATCAAACTGCATAATATTTTGCTTTAATATTTGTGTTTATTTAATATGAAATGAATGAACAAAGAAAAAAGGGGAGGGGGGATACTTAGCTTAAAATGAAATCATTTTTACGTTTCAAGCTTTCACTAATTTCTAGTGACGACAACAAATGAGACATGAATAATGGAAGCACAATCAAACGAGGTGTTCTTTCGTTCGCTTTTAGAAATAGTTTAGAATTTTTTTATTAACTATAAATTAAATAATTACATTTAAATTTTATTTCAAATTTTAATGAAACAAAATAAAAAGTCAAATTCATTGAAAAATTAATTGGCTACTAAGTGTAGATTCATAATTAAGAAACGTTTTGATGAAAAATAACAAATTTAATAACTATTATTTAGAAAGTAACTTAATTACCTTAGACAATTAAAGGAGCAAGTTAATAATTAGAGTAATAATAAAATAGGAGAATTCTATTAAAAATGATTATAATTAAAACAAATGCAATTGCAGGGATTCAAACCCACGCCTGTGGGCTCAATAGGAGTGCCTCACACCATTGGGCCACAGAGTCTCATTGTGTCAAGGGTTTCCAAAGTGTTAGATTTATCCATTTCAAGTAATATTTTACTTATCTATACGGTATAATTTTTTGATGAAGGGTGTCTAGTTGGACACCCTCGGGGCACTGTAGCTCCGCCACTGCCTACACCAGCCATTTAACATAGATCACAAGATAGTTGAATTTAAAGAATTCAAAAGAAAGTTTTATATCATAAAGAGTTTGGAAAAAGCGGAAGTTTAACATAAGTCTCAAAGCCATCTAGTACATCAAGAGTGATTGGGACGCATCACATGCAATACGGAAAAGTAAAGATAATAAGCAATAAAAGGTCCGGTCCTCGAAACATGAGGACTTACTAATCTTCAAATCCACTAAAGTGAACACTAGCAACATACGGAAGGAAAAGAGTCGTCAAACCCTACATTAGTGAAACAATGTAGGCAAAAGTATGCGTTAGTACATGAAATGTATCATGTATGAGGGGAATGCAATAAAACATAAGGCATGATCATAAATGGACATAATCGAAAACATGGAATGCATGACCAAGTTAAAACATAGTAAAATATCTTAAGAAGATTCATAAAACATGAACATGGTCAATGCATCTTTAAATCATAAAGGAAGCTTCATAAAACATTAGAAATCAACTTAGTTCTCTTTGTGTGAAGTTTACTGTTGACCGACATGTAGACCATGTGAGCTATAACATGGAATCCAATATCTGCCCCACACCGAAAAGGGGTGTCCTACTTGCCAAGGTAAAGACTATAAACTTCTAACTTACGTGGATCCACTAGCTAATGTATATCTAAGACAATCATCCTATGAGGGCACATATGTATGAGATAAGGAGATTGCTACTAGAAACGACCTCAAGCTACGAGAGAGCTCCTATCTCAATATCCTCTTGATGTTAAGCATAAATCTCACGGAATAGTCTTTAATCTTAACTTGTCTTATTATCCATGGAAGGGCACATCAAGTAATAAATCCAAGCTAAAGTCATATTATCATCCAGGAAAATGTACAATTAACCAACCAATCCAAGCTAGAAACATCATAGGATAACTCCTTAGACCATGCGTGAGAAAACCTTTCACCACCCATGATCTTTTTATAATAGCTTTTAAGGCTCATAGTCATTCACTTCATGCTAGAGATGCCCTGCTACTAATGGAAATAGTTTTGAAAGCATGATTTATAGTCATTGAAGGCATATCCGGATACCATACTAATCCAAACCTAATTTAGGAAAATAGCCTGAAAAGCTTTGAGGGCAAATCTAGATGTCATTCATGTCATGTGGCCAAGCTTCATAGAACATATATATATCTTTATCTATAACCTTACTTGAGTCATAACCATGACTTTTCATAAAAACATACATAATTTCATAAAACATATTCATAGCTTCAAGCTTCTTCATAAATTCATGTAAATTAGGGTTCATATATAGTCAAAATACATAGATCAATGTATGGGTCGTCATGACCCAAAATGAGTCATGAGTGACACCCACACGTAACCTCCTAGGTGGGCGAACCAATGCATTCAACCCTAACTTATATTTATCGTTCAACTTACAAAATATTAACCATAATGCGGAAGCTCAAATCTTATTAATGTAAGAAACACAAATCCACTAAAGTCTATTACATATGATCCCCAAAACCTGAAATTCATCACATCAAGGACATCTAATCTCCAAATACTAAGTCTAAGAGTATCGATGTAATGACCCGAAAGGTCATTTTGGTAATTTTTCGTGGAAATGACTATTTTGCTCTTTCGGTAATTGCCCTGAGTCCCATGTTTTGTGGTTGTAAAGTTGGTTTGAGGAAAAGTTGGTAAAAAGTTGAGTTTTTGAGAAGTTGAGTTTTTTATGAGTTAAAGTTGGTTAAAAAGTGCTTTTTCGAGTCATTTGGAGTTTCGGGACTCGGATCGGATTTTCGTCGATTCCGACAGTTTTAGAATGTCGAAACGGGTTTGTGTGAAGTTACGGAGTTGAATTTGGAGTTGAAACGAAGAATTGAGGTCCTAAGTTGCTAAAGTTGTGAAATTTTGATAAAGAGTTGACTTTGGTCAACATATGAGGTTCCGAGGCTCAGATTGAAATTCCGAGAGTACCGTTGGTTTCGGGAGGCGATTCTAAGTCTAGAATGAGTCTTGGTTGAATTTTTAGACACTCCGTTTGAGTTTCGATTTTTTTTGGTGTTAAACTAGTTTCTTGGCATCTTATTGAATTTCGGGTCAAGGAGTCCTTGAATTCAAATTCCAATGGTTCCATTGAGTCCGGAACGTCGAATTTAGTGGGGGTACATATTTAGTTTGTGTGCACGAGATTCCGAACGAATCCCGAGGGTCCAACGAGGACTTAAACTTTGGTGTTATTGTTGTTTTAGCTGCTGTGTTTTTTAAGCTGCA